AAAATATTTTTAACAGGTAGCCTATGTGGATTTTTTTTCTCCATCCAACTTTATATACATTATATGCTTTATATACTATATATATATAAATACTTGATATATTTTATACACTCATATAAATCACTGCTGCAATGATATCCCACATCAATAGAAGAGAGAGAACTATTTGTTTATACAAGATCATCCAAAAAATTCATTGCACATCCCAAACCTAACAGTTTTAAAATTCTGAAAAGACCTGTATTCTCTGTTTTATACATCAACAGAATATATTTTCCCCCCTTTTTCAGTTCTTAGGTTACACATTTGACCTACACCTGTGCACATTGTCCCTTGCACATCAAATGTACTGTAAAAGACACCTCAAAAAATTGGTCACAACATAGACATAAATGGAGATGAAAGACTTGATTTCCCGCTACAGCTGATAGATAAAATTAAATGGACATGGTTAGAAATGTCATATTTTTATTCCTCCTTGAAGATCCCTGGCTGCTGGCTGGTAGGACATGGAGCTGTGTTCACAGCACAAATTAGTTTTTTTCACCAGTGACATCTGCCCAACATGGGACTGCTGTAAATCACCCTGTTTGAATTATGCCCTTTTTCTTCAGGTGCATTTTAGCCTTGGGTTCTTAATGCAACAGCTCAGGTGTTTGAGACAGGACTTCTCCTTTCTGGTGAGTTTGCATGGCATTTTGCTCAATGAGACCCTCACTCAGCTGCTAATTAGATTTTACAGTGACTACATTTAATATTTTATCTATTAAGTGTTTATCATTGAATCACGTCTTTCATAAAAGACACTGTTAAGTCAATAGCCACACTGATTCCAGTTTCTGTACACAGGTAACACTAATCCTGCTAAGATATTAAACAGACTGGGGGATAGCAGGCAAAATTAGTCAGAGGGCATTTTGTTCAGTGAAGTTAGCTGCTAACAGTAATTTTAAAATCAGGAAAATAATTCCGGGAATCAGTAGAATCCCTACATGTTCACTAATAGCTACAGGTGTGTTTTCGAAGAGTCTAAGGGACTGTTTCTTAATTTTAGACCTATCTGTTATTCCTGTAACTCAGAAAAAAAAAAATTTAAAATCTCCTTATACACACAAACTCAGCAGCAGGTCTTTTTTTCAGATTACAGTTCTGCAGTTCCTCTGGGATTTTAGAAACTGGTCCTCAAAACAGAACATGTCAGGAGGCTGAGCTAATACAGCCCCTTCACTCATGGATAAACACTTCTCTACCTTATCCGTCTCCTTTTTTCATATTGCTCTAGTGTTCAGATCTTGATCCTATCTCCTGGCTTTATTCCCTTTACAGGTTGAAGTGTTACTGTACTGAATATTCAAGTTGCCACTACTTGATAAATCTGATTTTTTTTCTGTATTACATGTTCTCTAGAAAAAACTCATTCAATCAGAATTTTTGGGTTGCAGCAGGTGATCTCACATTCTTGTGCTGCTGGTAATAGATTATCACAACACACATTCACCATGTTTCTGCAGTGCTATCTGTGTGAACATCCTGTTATATCTGTGGATGTCTTAGAATTCAGCTCTGCTTTCCATAAAAAAACAAAGCATCACTAAATGTTTCCTGTTATCTGCCCTACAGTACACATTCAGGCACTCTGGGATCAAGGAGGCTACAAAACTGAACAAATTTTTCTCATTTTTGGAGACTAAGAATGGTTTTATATCAGATACAGGGAGACAAAAAACTGTCAAATTTTAAGTGTAATCTACAGAAATAAATTCTGGCCTAAACTGTATACACCATGTCTGCTTTAGCAAATGAATAATACTACTATTATGAGAAAACAGACAGTAAAAAAAAAAGTAATTCTAGAAAGAGACGCAAACCACTTTTATCCGTTTTAAATGGCCTCTTCTGGCATTGTTTTTAAATATCTATTTCTGCATTTGAATTTTATCTCTTTGCAGGACCTTATCTTAAAATACAAATATCTATCAAACTTGGAGTATAAGTATGGAACATAAATGCAAGATCCAACATCCACGTTATCTGCTTTGCATCCTACCAGACAAATGGTCTTTTCTCTCAGGTACCACTGCACAGGTATTAACAGGAAATTTCTACTGAGTTTCAGGGTTTCATTACATTTATCTGTCTCTTGATATGCAAGCTAACAGCAATCTGAAGTTAAACCATGACAAATGCCAGGTGGGTTATGTGCTCTGTCAATGCAGCCAGGAGCAGGAGGCTGAATTTGAGAGAAAGGAGCAAACCTTGCAGCAAATGTCCTTTCCCAGCTGAGTGGATGATGCAGTTAATATTACATCCACTCAGACACCTGGCAATGAAGGATGAAGAAGGATAAGCAGCAGTTACATTAATGGGATCAAGCAGTTTATACATAGGAATACCGTGTAAAATATAGAGCTGAGGAGGGAAGGTCTGGTAGGCACCTAAAGGGTACTGAGAAGTTTGATTCTTGATTTTCGTGCAACCTGTACAGTCCTTTTACAGGATATGGCAAACACTTTGTTGTACTTAATGGTGTTCTTTATTTGTCACTGTATTATATCATGATTTTGAGCTGCTGGTGAATTCACTGAGAATTAGAACTCAGACCTAACAACAAAGGTGAGAAAATCTACAAGGGCTGTGACAACTAAGTTAGCTTAGACAGAACTACAGATTTAGACTTAACAGAGACAGGTTTGGCTCACCCCAACTTGAAGGTGACCACAAAGGCTAAAAGACACACCTAGCAGGATGTGTATCCTTGTCTATGACAAAGTAGGACTCAGGACTGAAGGTTTTTTAAGGTGACTTTTATACTCCATCAAGAGCTTACCAAATGCCTAGGTTGTCCCACAGTAGGAGTAAGAACAGCTGTTTTTATTTATTACTATGTTTATCACTTTCTGGCTTCTCATTTAAAGTCTCGTCTGAGCTTGATTTACATTCTCTGCTTATCTGCACCAGGACTCCCAGTCTGCCTCAAGTAGAGAGGTAAGAATTTGCATAGACTCCTGCAGTTACTGTAATGACCCAGATTTTGACACATCACAGTAAGGTTCATTTTAGAAATGCAAAGTTGAGCTAAAGATAAACAGGGAACCAGAGAAAGGCAACCTAAACAAAAGTTCTTGCCCCAGAAAAATGAAGAAAGAATTAAAGAATAGGAAAAAAAAAATTAATAGATTCTTCAGAGATGTGATAATATATATGTAAACCAGCATATCTATATTTCTAACTTCTATGACAAAATCTACGTGGCTCTTTTTTTCACAAATTTGAAATCATATAGTATTTATAAATATTAAATTTATATTTTTCGCTTTTGTTGGGAACATTTTTTATCTGTAAAGATAAAATTTATTTGGGTTTTCTCTAGAGGGAAAAGTTATGTTCTGCAAACACATCAGGTTAGAGACTATTTTCTGACAAAGGAATTCTTAGAACTCTGACACAAGGAGCATTCACTTTTGGAAGACTAACAATTGGAATCTGAAAGATTCCACAGACGGCACATTTCATAGCAAAAAAAAAAAAAAAAAGTTTATAATATTTCAAGGAACAGAAATAACCAATAAAAATTATACTTCTCAATGCAGAGAATGTCCATAATTTCTATTATTAAAAGATATGTCTAACCATTTTTAGAAGCCAAGATGCAATTTTAAAATTTCTTTGTGTCAGTTGTGAACTAAGAACATATCAAACACAGAGATCCTGTAAATCCTAAAGTAGCTCAATATGTGCCTTGCTGCTTTGCAATTGTGAATTCTATGAGGCCAAAGGCTGTAAACCTGTTGGTTTCCAACAAAACCTGCTGATACTAAAACCCTTTAGAATCTATAATCTATTTTAGTAGATGAGAGAGTTGCTATTTAGAAAATGCATGGACAATATTTAGATATTGTATTGGCAATAAATCTAATCATGGTCATACACACACACACTGTACATACTTCCTGTACTTGGCCATGAACATTCTCTTGACTATATGTTATTCAATTTGTTGGTTAATCTTTAAGTGCTGAGCTGCACTCTTGGAAACCAAAAACCCCCACTTCGTTTTGTTTGTTTCATCTGTGGAAGTCAACGTTTAGACCATGAAACATCTCTGAAGTTCCTATAGTTACTAGTGCTGCTGAAACACTATGTATAGGATAATTTAACCTGTATCTCTTCAAAATATTTTAGTCATAAACTGCACGTATTGTATATCAACAGAAAAAAATCATATGGGTACTCTTTGAATAGAAAGTCCTCCATATACTTTTTCTCCTAGAATTGTAATCTCCATAAAATATGATATTTGACCACATCTAGTGGGTTTATGCAACATAAAAATACATTCAAAAAAATTCCTTCATTGTCAAACTATTTGAATTTGCATATTAGTCCTGACAGGGTTAAATTTTTTTCTTCCCTTTTTTTTTTTTGTTTGGTTGGGGGTTTTTTTGTTTGTTTTTAGTAAGTAGTAAACAGCAAAGTTGTAAAAACTGTAAAATTTGTAGAAGTTTTAGCTCATGAGCTCTCATTCCTTGAAAAATAAAATAAAAAGTTTTCAAGGAACAACTAAGCTCAAGGGGAGGAGGCTTAATTAATTAACGCAATCCTTGTGATGTTAGAAAGGAAAAAAGGAACAAAACAAGCAAAGCAACCTTTTTGGCACCCAACATTTCAGTATATCTGTATTTGGTACACAGCAGTATTTTGCTGTTTATTTCTCCTCTTTTGCCTCTCTGCAGTGTTCGGGATAAAATGAACATTTTTTGAGCCTTATCTGTGCAACAACAGAGGAGTTTTGTGATGTTTCAAGTTTGCCACAAGCTGTGAGAAACTTCTTATGGGTGTCTCATTGTGTAAGCAAAAGGAACTTATTCCCAAACTTTGGCACTTCTCATTCGTATTTCTCACACTGATCTTTGCAGCTTATGCAGAAAACCACTGATTTTTCCATTTCTGAAGCTTTGTCAGGTCCTAAATGTTGTAAAGAGTGAGAAGGTCTCCCCTGAGCCTCCTTTTCTCCAGGCTGAATCCCCGCCAGCTCCCTCAGTCACTCCTGGTGCTTCAGACCCTTTCCCAGCTCCACTCCCTTCCCTGGATACGCTCCAGCCCCTCAATGTCTCTCTTGTCTGAGGGGCCCAGAACTGTCCCCAGCACTGGAGGTGTGGCCCCAGCAGTCCCAGCACAGGGCCGGGCACTGCCCTGAGCCTGTGACACCCCATGGCTGGGACAGCGCAGGGGCCATTGGCCTCTTGCTCACCTGGGCACACCTGGGCTCATGTCCAGCTGCTGACACCAGCACCCCCAGGGCCTTTTCCAGCTTTCCAGCCCCTGGAGTGTTTTTGTGTGACCCAAGGGCAGGACCTTGTTGACCCTCGCACCACTGACCTCATCCCACAGATTCAGCCTGTCCAGATCCCTCTGCAAAGCCTTTCTGCTCTCAGCAAGATCAACTCTCCCATCCAACCTGGTGTCATCTGTGAACTTTCTGAGGGTGCCCCTCAATGCCCTTATCCCAGTCATTATATTATATAAAGACACTGAGCACAACAGGCCCCAATACTGAGTCATGCCACATGTGACCAAATGCCAACTAGGTTTAACTCCCTGCTCCACCAGTCTCTGGGCCCAGACATCCAGACAGTTTTTTATCCATGGAAGAGTACACCCATCCAAGACATGTGCATGAGAATGAGATAGGAAATGTTGATTAAGGCTTTACTAAAGTCCATGGCTCTAGTACAAATAGTAGTTATAATTCAGAAGTACAGGAAAGAAACAATAGTTTTTATCCATATAAAGGGAATAAAATTTATTTTCCCATTCCCAAAAACTTCCTAGTTTTTGATGTGTTGAGCCATGAGTCTCATAAGAGGAGAAAAACATTAACTTACCTGTTTTAGATAGGGGATACCATTTGAAAAAATTTCACTATGAATTAGGTTCCTGCCTACAGACAACACAAATATTGACTACACTATAGTCAATAACCAAATATTTCAAAAGCGAATTGTTACTTAAAAAGTATTAAAGGGGAAAAATATACAAAAAAACCACCTCGCCCCAAAACCAAAATCAAACCAATCAAACAAACAAACAAAAAAACACAAGCAAAACAAACACACCAAAAGAAAAAAAAAAAAAAAAGAACACAAACATGGCTGATTTTGAGTGCTCCTTCTCATTATCAAAATCACAGATCATTTTTCATCATCTATGTATATTGCTACAGACTTCAAATCACCCTCACATTAGATACAGCCCTGAAAAATCTATTATCTAAATTGTTGTGTTTATAATTTATAATTATTATTATAAATATATAAATATATGGGTTATATGTATGTTGATTTATTATATGTAATATTCATAATATTATAAATATTGTTGTATTTTTAATATTTAAATGCTTATAAATGTCTAGTAATGGCATTTTGGCATTCCTAGCTTTGCACAGAGGCTAATACTTAAAGGGTGCTGGAGAGAGAGAGAGAGCCTTTCCTGTCTAAGCCCTCAGAGGTAAACACACATCTAAGCCATGACACATTGGCAGACGGGCTTAAAATTATGTCACTTGTTGATTGGATTTTGTCAGATAATGCACTGCCAGTGAACATGAGGTTTTGTGGTGTCTGCACAGAAATTATAGGGCATCTTTACAGAACATCTAGGAGCAGCAGACCAGTAGATTAAAGCTAATGATGGAGAGGTGTATCTCTATTAATCAGCATGTGCACTGAACAAAACAACTGTATTTCACTGTATTATTATTCAACTGTATTATCTGTGTTTCACAGCCCATGAGTGTGAGTTTGTCAGCAGGGCTGTGATTGAGTACAATAAGTTAGAAAATACTGATTTGAACATCTCTTCCTGTTATCACAGAAGGCCTAATGGATGGGGGAAGTCCAAAAAGGAAGTAGTATGAGAGCTTCTCCTCTATCCTTAGTTAAAAAATCCAGAGTTATTCAGTGTATTTTTTACCTAAGAATTAGGCAAAAATCAAGAAATCACGCTTTTTAATCAGCCATTTGGTAGGAAGAAGGAAGTGACACAAATATGAAACAGAAAATTTTTAACACATGATTGTCTTACTTCAAGGAGTCACCACTTTTCATTTGCTTTACTCAGTCAGTTTGGTAGAATGGGGCTTTCTAAAGGAAAAAAAAAATGGATCCAGAACTTCAGGGAGTGAATGTGTTTCTGGACATCACCTGTGCTTGGAAAGCTTCATTATCTCCTCTGAGAACATCAAGCTAATATTAAAATGTGAATTACATGGCTTGTACTAGATAGGATTTTCTTAGATTTTTGGGATTATCAATAAAGTTATTCATGGCAATACTAAAAATGCTTGTCTGAACAGAATTAGAAAAAACTTTATTAATAATTATTAATTAATATTGTTACTTTTTTACATTATGGGACAGCACTGTCCAGACATGGAATGAAAAGATAATTGTGATCTTGATAACTTATGTCTCACTGAGTAGGTAGTCTAACTAATTAATATTTTCTTCTTTCAGGGTGTGCACACAATGTAATTACTTTTTAAACTATATTTTCACTTCTATTTCAGCCAGACCTCAAGCTGCAGCACTTCTGTTATTCGTAGGGAAGCAAGAGAAATAAAGGAGTCACAGTTCATTATCATGGCAAAATACAGATGAAAAAAAAATTTGTATATGTATACTTTAAGTTTACTACATTTACTTTTATAGGATCACAGAGTAGCTGGGGTAGGAAGGGACCTCTGGAGATCATCCAGTCCAAGACCCTGCCAAAGGCAGGGTCACCTGGAGCAGGTGACACAAGAATGTGTCCTGGTGGGTTTAGAATGCCTCCAGGCAGGGAGACTCCACACTCTCTCTGGGCAGCTGTTCCAGGCTCTGCCTCCTCCTTGGAAAGAAGTTCTGCCTCATGTTGAGGGGGAACTTGTTGTGTTATAGTTTATGGCCATTGCTCCTCATCCTATCTGCGGGTACCACTGAACAATCTGGGAGCACCTTCTGACATCCCTTGGGGATATTTGTGTGGATTGATGGGATCCCCTCTCAGTCTTCTCTCCAGACTAACCAAGCCCAGATCCTACAGTCTCTGCTCATCAGGGAAATGCTCCAGACTCCTCATTATCTCTGTGGCCTCTTCTTGACCCTCTCCAGTACCTCCTGACCTTTCTTGAACTGTGGAGACCAGAACTAAACACAGTACTCAAGACGTGGCCTCACCAGGGGCAGGATCCCCTCCCTGACCTGCTGGCCACATTCTTCCTGATGCACCCCAGGACCCCATTAGATCCCAAGCTGAGGAAAACACAATATCTCCCAGGTGTTTCAATATTAAAGAAGTGAATGACTACTTTTGCTGTGAGCTTGGAGGACAAAGAGCTTTGTGCTGTGACAGTAACATCTCCCGAAGATTTTTGACTTGATAGGTTTTTTTTTTGGCAGGACTTGGGTGTCTGATAAAAATCTTGACACAGTTGCAAGAAAAAAAGAAACAAAAATCAAGTATGTTTGATAACTAAACCATGACAACTGAGGGTGATGAATGATGGTAGAGCTGAACCTGTAGCTGAAAGCACAAGGTTGTACTGTGAAGTGTGTCATTTGTCCTCGTGACTTGCCTGGATCACTTCAAGTGCTGCCTGGTCAAAACTGAGTGTAATAGTTCTGTACTGCCACGTTACTGATGTATAGCCCCAAGTTTAAGCCAGTACAGCTTCCTCTCAGTCAAGTAACTCAGTAACAATGGCAAATCTTTTAAGTACTTTATTGTAAAGAAAATGAGTGTAATTGATGATGAAAGCCGTGTACATCAAGTTGTTTCTTTGCAGGTGTTACCTTCCCCATTGTTTGGAGTCAAGCTGAGGTCTGAGCACAGACTTACTCAGATTATTTATTCATTGATCTATTTTTTATGTTCTTTGGAAATATTTGATATTTGCCTCAGTTCCTGTACTATCTGGGATAGATGAGGAGTTAAATAAAGAGAGGAGTGAAAAAGCCCAACTCCTAAACAGATGGCTAAAGGATTGGTGCCACCGTCAAAATTTTGGGTTCTTTGACCATGGGGCAAACTCCACGGTACCCAGTCTCTCAAAATCAGATGGGATTCATCTGTCTAGGAAGAAAAAGAGGACTGTAGCCCATAAATTAGCGAGGCTGATCAAGAGGGCTTTAAACTAGGCTTGAAGGGGGAAGGTGTCAAAACCGGGCTCTCCAGTGATCAACCTAGGGATGGAAAGCCTGAGTTAAGAATTAAATCAACAGCCCACCTGAAGTGCATGTACACTAATGCATGCAGTATGGGCAACAAACAAGAGGAGCTGGAAGCCACTGTGCAGCATGAAGGCCATGATGTAGTCGCCATCACAGAAACATGGTGGGACGACTCACATGACTGGAGTGCTGCTATGGAAGGCTATAAGTTCTTCAGAAAGAACAGGCAGGGTAGGAGAGGTGGAGGGGTGGCTTTATATGTTAGAGAATCTCTTGACTCCGTTGAACTTGAGGTCAGCAACGATAAGGTTGAGTGCCTGTGGGTCAGAATCAGGGGGAAGACCAACAAGGCCGACATCATCATAGGTGTCTGTTACAGACCGCCCTACCAGGATGATGAAGGAGATGAATTATTCTATAAGCAGCTGGCAGATGTCTCAAAATCGTCAGCCCTTGTCCTTGTGGGTGACTTTAACCTACCAGATATATGCTGGGAGCTCAATACTGCAGAGAAGAGGCAGTCTAAGAGGTTCCTGGAGTGTATAGAGGACAATTTCCTTCATCAGCTGGTAAATGAACCTACCAGGGGTAAGGCCCCGCTAGACCTGCTGTTTACAAACAGAGAGGGGCTGGTGGGAGACGTAGTGGTTGAAGGCCGCCTGGGAAAT